TATCATCCGTATACTCAAGGTCACAAAGTCTTTCTCCAGGCAACAGATCCACACCGACGTTACTTACATAAATCAGGGCTGTGTGGTGTTTGAATGAACCAATGATACCTTTGTACTGGTTGAATGCTCGGTTTCGAATTCTAAATACAATACATTCGTTGGTGCCTGTGTCTTCTTAATTCAATTGCGTTAATCCTGGAATTCCTAATTCATACGACAATTAGAATACTATATTGGCGTCGCGATGGAGCCTGCAATGGAAAAGTTGGATATTCATTCAACTCCTGAAGTTTTTGAGGATTATTTGGAAAGGTTCGAAATTTGGAGCATGACCAAGAAAGATGTTAAAGGTGATAAAATTGTGGCACATTTTCTGACATTCATTGGGAGAGAAGCGTACAGCTTATTAAAAACTTTGGCATATCCAGAAAAACCTATCTCACTCCCTTATGCAACTCTTAAAGAGCTATTGTTAAGTCATGTAAAATGCACCAGTTTTGAATGCCGTGAAAGGGCGAAGTTTCATAAGATGGTTCGTCAAAATGACCAAAAGGCTCGGGAATTCATCCTTGAATTACAGAAACAAGCTGCCAAGTGTAATTTCGGTGATCAACTTCATGTGCAACTGAGAGATCGATTAATTGCAGGAATTAACATACCGAGTTTGGAAAGAGAGCTGTTAAGAATGCCAAACTGTTCCTTTCAAGATGCTAGAACTGCATGTATTAACTACGAAGCAGTCAATGAACTTGATATCCAGTCGATGAAGATTTCTAATACTTTGCTTAGTCGTCGTGATGAACTACAATCTCAGGGTCAATCAAACTTGCGTTCATTTAACAGTGATTCCTATTCTCGTGTAAATATGAAAGGTGTTTCAACGAGGAATTACAAAGCAAATCACAAAGGTGAGATGAAGTTTGGTAAATGTTTATCATGTGGAAAGTTTCATGCTCGCAATTCATGTGTATTTCGTAATGCTAAATGTTTTAAATGTGGTAAGGTAGGACACATTCAGTCAGTATGCAAAGCTACTGTCCATTTTGCTTCAAGCTGTACTAAATCTTGTAATTTAAATTTCAATAATTCGGATGTTTCTAGTGATCATTTATCTTTGTCTACTATTTCGAAAGGTAATGCTCATATTCAGAAGCGACTATATACATCGCTTGGTTCATTTCATGACTTTATTCTGGACACAGGCAGTATAGAGTCCATTATTTCATTCAAGAACTTGAAAGCTTTAGATCCTAACGTTGTTGTACGACCCACTGAAGTATCAATACTGGGGATTACTGGACACAGACTGCCCATACGAGGATGTTGTGAATTGCTAATCAGAGATGATAATTCTTCATACATACCTTGTGAATTTTTAGTTAGCGAAACAGGACTGTCAATATTGGGTTTAAAGAATTTGAAAAGGCTTAAGGTGGAGTTGTCCTTCTTAGTTTCTAAAGAAAATTCTGATACTTTACTTAAAGATTTGATAGCTATGTGTGCTAAGTGCAGTGGAGGTATGAAAATTAAGCCTATAAAACTTCAAGTACAGGGTGATCCCGTCTTTCTTAAAAGACGAATAATTCCTTATGGTCTTCGAGAAGCAGTACATAAGACATTAAACGATTTGTGTGTGAAAGGCATAATTGAACCAATTCAGTCTTCAGCATGGGGTACTCCTATCGTTACGCCACTGAAGTCGGACGGCAAGACCCCTAGAATTTGTGGTGACTATAGATTAACTCTGAATTCCCGTTTGTTGAAGCAAACGTGCACGACGGTAGAAGCTGAAGATATTCTAAATCGACTTCATGGTTCTAAAGTGTTCTCGAAAGTTGACCTAAAAGATGCTTATCTTCAAATTCCTTTAGATGAATCTTCATCTATTTTGACGACAATTAACACTCCTTTTGGTCTGTTCAAATACAATTTCCTTCCATTTGGTCTAAGTTGTTCTCCAGCCATATTTCAGGAAGTTATGAATAAAGTAGTTAGTGATCTTGAAGGTGTTGAAGTTTATCAAGATGATCTCATTGTTCATGGCTCTAATAAGGTAGTTCATGACCAGAGACTTATTGCTTTATTGCGTCGTTTAATTGAGAAGAATATAACAGTGAATCCAAATAAGTGTTCATTTTGTGTATCTAGTTTTGAATGCCTTGGATACCTAGTTGATGGTAATGGTTTTAGACCAGATATGAAACGACTAGCTCCACTGACTAATGCACCGTCTCCGAAAAATCTTACAGAATTACGTTCACTAGTGGGTGCTCTTCAATACTATTCCCGTTTTATTCCTAATTTTTCTTGTCGTGCAAATTGTTTATTTAATATTTTAACATCCAATTCATTCAAATGGAGTGAGGAACAAGAGTCATGCTTACGAAGTCTGCTGAAGTTTCTTCAAAGTGATGCTGTTCTTCGAACGTACTCCCCTAATGTACATTCTGTGCTTATTACTGATGCATCACCTGTGGGAATTGGTGCAGTTTTGGAACAGGAAGGTAGACCAGTTATTTGTGTTTCACGCAAACTTACTGTTACTGAACAAGGTTATTCACAGACTCAGCGAGAAGCATTAGCTGTGTTTTGGGCTGTTAAAAGACTTCATAAATATTTATTCGGAAAGAAATTCACTATTGTTACTGATCATGAAGCTTTAAAGTTTATTTATCATCCCGAAAAATCCTTAGCACGTTCCTCAGCAGCTATGGTTCAGCGATGGAGTATTGCTTTGAGTGCATATGACTATACGGTTCAGCACAGAAGTGCCAAACAGATTCAACATGTTGATTACATTTCTCGACAGTCATTACAAGATAAACCTATTAATACTTCGGATTGTTTGTTAGTGCAACCTTTACCAGTGAGACGTTCAGATCTCATTAGAGAAACTCGTAGATATTTTGGATGTATACTCAGTGCTATAAGGAAAGGTTGGAATGCTAATTTGAAACGGAGATTTCCTATCTATTTTTCAAAGCGGGATGAGTTATCTACTACTCCTGATGGTATTCTGTGTTTAAATGATCGTGTTGTCATTCCTCCTTCATTGCGTAAATCTGTTCTTGAAGATCTTCATAGTGGTCATTTAGGTGTTGAGAAAATGAAGTCCTTGGCAAGGCTCACATGCTGGTGGCCAGAGATAAATGCAGATATATGTCGTACGGCAAACAATTGTGAGAAATGTCATCAGTTGAAAAATCATCCTTCGAAGTGGGTGCCATGGCCAGTATCGTCTGAGGCCTGGCAGAGGATTCATGCTGACTATTGTGGACCATTTCTTGGTAAATACTACGCACTAGTAGTCATTGATTCTTTTTCAAAGTGGCCTGAAGTTTTTTTCACAACTTCACCAAATTCTGATTTCACAATACAAGCATTAAGAAAGGTGTTTAGTCGAGAAGGTGTTCCCTTGGTGTTGGTGACTGATAATGGCTCACATTTTGCTGCAGATGCAGTCACTACCTGGTTGAACGGTATAGGGTGCAAACATCTATTTACTGCTCCCAGACATCCGTGTTCTAATGGTCAGGCAGAGAATTTTGTTAGGACATTAAAGACTGCTATTGATTCTATAGCCCCCTCAACATTTAATGAGCTGGAGAGGGGAGTAGATACCTTTCTATTGCAATATAGAAATGCCAAACATTCGGTGACGAAGGAGACTCCAGCGAAGCTATTGAAAGGAAGAATTCTTCGGTCGAATATGAGATGTCTGGAGTCTGCAGAAGTTACATACTATCGAGGAAATGATCTTCGACCATCTACGGGTATTGTTCTGAAGAATGTCGGAAAATCGATGGTGCGAATTCTAGACATCGATGACTTAAGTACACACAGTCGACATGTAGATCAAATACAATTTCAGGAACCAGGTGAGTCAGTTCCAATTTCGATTGTTAATTCTAATGCTAATGAGCATATTCTAGATAATACAGAATCCTTATCCAATACAATGTCAGACAGACTCAGGATGAATTTGAGAAGAAGACGTACGATTGATTACAAACACCTAGACTCCAATTTAAGCTGTGGCGGATGTGGTGTTTGAATGAACCAATGATACCTTTGTACTGGTTGAATGCTCGATTTCGAATTCTAAATACAATACATTCGTTGGTGCCTGTGTCTTCTTAATTCAATTGCGTTAATCCTGGAATTCCTAATTCATACGACAATTAGAATATTATAGGCTGTTTCAAGAATATCATCGATGGCAAAGTTCAAGAGGAATGGTGAGATTGAACAACCCTGTCTAAACCCACTGCTTGAGTGGAACAATGGAGACAGGTGGTTGTATGCCCTCATTCTACCTGAGATGTTTGTATATAGGGCTTTTAGGATGTTAATAAACTTCTCAGGTACACCCTTCTTCAATAGACAATCCCAGAGTACAGACCTGCCCAACGAATTGAAGGCAATCCTGATGTCAAGAAACACTATGACTGTTGGCCTGTGATAAGTATGACATTTAGTGGCTGATGAAGATATGATCAATACATCCTCAATCAGAAAGAAAACCAGCCTTCTCCTCGCGAGTCAATCTTTCTCGGGTTTTGAACAATCTCCGAAGTATGACGGAACCCAACAGTTTGGACGAAATCGGAAGTAGACTTATCACCGAATGGTTGTTGGATAGGTGAATTAGACCCTTTTAAAAATGGGGACAGCTACCGACTTATTCTACGATGTTGGAACACTTTCTAATTACCAGACCTTTATAAATAACTCAGTTCCATAACCAAAAAGTCTAAAAAAGGATTAAGGTTGTAGAGGCAGTGGTTCTAATCCTATTTATACCAAAAGTTTCTGTAAGTTGCTGAAGTAGTTTGCTTTCAAACTGAGCTCCACGGTCGGTTGTAACTAATGTAGGAAAACCGAAATTTGTAATCCAGCGTTTCACTAATTTCTTTTCCACTGTTGATGTCGACGTGTCTTTTAACGGAACAACTATGGACCATCTCGTTCAACTCTAAACTTCCTCTTTTGGCTTACTTCTCAAGTGTTACCATAGCCAACGATTCTAGCGCGCAAAAAACTGTCCCTGATCTAGTGGAACCTCGCACCAAACTACACATTGGAGCCTTCAACGTACACACCCTATGTCAAATCTGTCAACAGGCTTCCTCGTCTAGAACCCTAGAATCTCGTACCATTGATGCATGCTGCTGAGGTACGACAGTAATTCATAGGTGCACGGATGGGTTAACGGATGGGGAGTTTGAAACTGTGAGACCGCTGCTGATATCTGGTACCGCTGCACTCCACATAAAGAATTTTACTTACCAATCTTTTGGGAGACGTCTGACAGATCAAGATGTCTGTAATATGTGAACGTACAGTCAATTTGTGACAGGTGGTTACACTGTGATGGTTATCTTACTCCTATTGCAGTTGAGAATTATTTCCCCAATGCAATTGAGCCAGCCCAGAATGAAGAATACAGTGTTAGCGTTAGTCAGGCGAATGTCTGAGGAACAATGCAGTTCACTTTATAGCTTCATAGTTCACGGTAGACCAACAACAACTCCGTTGAACTTGCATGGAGAACAGCATTCGTACACCAATTCAAGAACCTCGAATAACGTTGCAATGCCCTTTATGCAACGAGGAAATGTTGATTTGGATGAAACGTTCAGTGACGATGAGGAGGAAGTAATTTCTATTAACTCCGAAGAGTTAACGGAACGGGACATGCAATATGAAGAAGAGGAGGAAGACAACCGTTTGTGTGACATCTGTAATCTTGCACAGCCGCTGTGTGAAACTGGTGATGCAGTTGGTTGGGTTTTCTGTACTTGTGAAGCAATGTTTCATAGGTTCTGTGCTTATGACCCATCACCGAACGTACGAGCAGTCCACTGTCCGATGTGTCGCGCCATTACCAACTACCAGTTACGACGTACGACCGCGAGAACGAGTAAAGGTCCTTTTCAGGGCCACCCACAATTTGATTTGCATTATTTTTTCTCCACTTCTTTTCCATGGCAAAGGTCAAGCACTTATTAATGTCTAATGAATTTAGATATCCCTTAGACATTAATAGTGGAAAAGCGATTATCGCTCATGTATTCGTAAACTTGTTTCAAACGTTTATTAGATATCAAGGTCTGAATTATTTGCAGTAAAGTGTTCAGTCACAATAAGTGGGAGAGCATTATCGGAAAATTGAAAATGTAAAAAATTTTGTGTCAATGAAATACATAGTATGAGAATTGAATCTTGTCAATTGAGATCATAATAATAATAATGATCATAAGAACAATAAATAATAATAACGTTGTAAATGTTCATTGATGCACTTGACCTTATTCATATTTATACGTTGAATGTCGATAGATATTTGTTGAGTCAGTCAGACGACGTAGGCTTGTTCATTTACACTTCATGAAACTGATATTTCAAATGCTTGTCAAAAATGGTTACATTCATAATGTCTAGATATAGTTCAGGTTTCATAATACGGTTAACAATATTTACACATAACTGATTAAACACACTAGTTTTTATTACAACCAAAAAATTAATTTTAAAATGCAGAACTGTAAATAATTTACAAGTGAAAACAATAAATCGTTTCAATGGACTTTTAAAATTAACCAAATTGAAATCTAACGTTTTCTAATTCTCATTAAGAATGACCATTTAAAAAACAACCATTTAATAAATAATCAGTGCATATTGCGGAAACATTATTACTTCTTTGATATTCCGTCAAAGTCATTTCATTAACCCATGGTTTACGGTTCGTTCGCCGTAATCAATAAATTATCATGATGATTTATTATTATGTTGTTTTCTTTTTCCCATTAACAGACCATGTGTTACTAAAAACCTTATGCACAAACTTTGGTGATAATTTCATTATTATTTTGGTATTCAACATTTGACTACCGACCTAATTCAGTAATCACTATTATCAAATATTGAAACCGGTTTTCACTTCCTTTTTCCCAAAATTTGCATTCTATGTGATACATATAAGTATTCGTGGCAAGATAACTAACGACTTCAATTAAAGGTTGATATGACATCACTTGATTGGAAAGCAAAAATTTTTCCCAATACACATACACTAAAAGTAGGATTGCACGATTGTGCATTTCCGTTGGTGTTATTTCTTCAAAAGTCTAAATTTTTTTCAACACTAACATTACACAAAAAGAATTATTCATTATCATTAAATTTCAAATGTAAAAATCTAAATTCTCACATCCAATCAAAGCAGTTGATGCGATTTCGATTTCAACTAATCAGATTACAAAGATGAACAGTTTATGAAAAATTACGAAAATATTAAAGGTGACAAAATGTTTGTTCATTATCACTTGAGCACACACTTCTAAAACAAGTAAACCAATCACCGATCAATAAATTTTTCATTCACAGCCTAACATTTTTTTACAACGGGTGGTAGGGAATCTTGATTGCCGTTTCCTTAATGTCAACCGATATTTTATAATAATTTTCAAGACATAACTAACCAAATATAATGAATTTAAAACTAGCCATTTAATTAGACCAAACAGAATGGAATATATTGGAAAATGGGATGAAAAAACTTTTCTAAAGGGGTGAAAAAATATTAATTAAAAAAATTACAAAAATGGCCGGTTGTTCAGTTATATTCTGGTTTGTATAATAAACTAGGGAGATAAACTAAATGTTAGCATTTTACAAGCTTTGAATTAAGTGGAATAACGTACTCAAAACTAGCTTCCGTTGTTTATCATCGCTTCTTTGTTTCTCTGCTCGCATCAGTATACGGTTGTCAAACAAAAATATTGCTAGACGATTTGCATGAATCAAATACTACGTTTTCAATTAGATAAAAGTTCCAAAATAATAAAAAAAAACTAATGATTAGTGTGATTTCGGAAATTCAGAACGAGGAGGATGATATACCACTGTGTCTAGTATATAAATCAGCCAAAATATTAAAATAGAAGTATTAGGGTAAATGTTTTTTGTAAAGCTTTATATTTTCTCATTGTTGCTTATAATTACGGCATTTGACCGGTGGACAACGCGGTAGTGTAGTAAAAGCAGGAATGATAAGCATTGGTTTGGATCTCCAGAATGAACTTCGTAACTGGAAGACAGGTCACCCAGTTAACAAGTCTCAAATAGATTGAATAGTAATTTTACTGCTGGCCACTATGCAACTTTATCTAAGGATAAGTAAAGTGAATAATTTGTGTAATCTTTTATTATTCATCCGAATATTCGAGCTATTTAGATGCTTCAATAAAGCTGACTACTTTTAATAATAAGCAGTCTGACTTGAAGCAAAAAAGGCAGTTTTTTACATAGCATTGATGTGTAACGATTTATCAGGCTTTTAATCAATTTGTTGGAAAATACAAATCTCATTATTTAGAGAAATATTAGTCAATTTCAAGCATATCGTTGCTGACAATTTCCTGGGCCAACAGACACTGTTACAGAACATAAGAATAACTAAACGAGGTAAAGATATTTATTACAATCCCAAAAATTCAAAGTGAGTTATGAGGCAAGAAAATATCAATCAATATCTATTGTTATTGTATAGACCAAAATACAGACTTGATCACGGAAGTTTCAAGCTTTTTCGTGCAGTTCAGTTTCAGAAATTGGTTTTAGTGTATTCACCAGATCGTATACTGACAGAACCAATCACATTATATAGCTGGATCCATGATATCATTGTACGCACAGTTTAGTAATGTTGAGAATAAGACTGTCATCAACAATAATTCAGATAGTTGCTGTTCTATATCGTGAAATAATTGAATTTCAAAATAAGAATCTCTAAGTTCCGAATCAGTGGTTTAAAAGTAACACTTGTGTGCATCCTACTCAGGAATCTCACACCACCTACAAAACAGTTATCCAATCCTTTCTGCTTTTAATAATACCTTAACTTATGTTAATCTATGATGAACATCACATAATATGTAAACAACTACTTATATAATTGAATCTAAAATATTGACATTTGTCTATTTCGTTTTCTCATTTGATTTATTTTGTACCAAAGCTCCTAATCCACCTATCAACGTTACGTTTATTGAGACTGGATCAACACAGCTCCGTGTTGTATGGATGCCTCCTGAGGAGAATTTAGCTTTCAACATCAATTGTTACTTGGTATATATCCGTCCAACGTTTACTGTATTTAGCCATTTTCAAAAATTCAATATTTGTCATTCTAACGTGTGTGACATCAAATCGTTATTACCGGGAGTAAACTATACAGTTTATGTTGAATCGTTTGATTTAACATACGGACTTCGAAGTTTGCCTTCAAATTATATTACCGCTGTAACCTATCCAGATAGTAAGTTGTCATTTAGGCCATAACACATATTTTATTGTTTTAATATACATTCGTTTTATCCTAGAAAAGTAGGTCGGTTGATAAATAAACTTAAATTTGAAGAATAAGCTCTGCGTCATCATTTTTACTCAAGAACAGCAAAATGTATATTTGCATGATATTGTTGAAAATATCCGTTACCAACTGCATCCATGCAAACATTCAGTGACCTAGTGTTCGAACTTGCAAACCTGAAATCGGTTCCTCCTAACTCGCTTTAGACAACTGATTAGTGCTATTTACCCCCATGCTAAACAGTGTACATTAGGTTGAACAACAAACCTAAGGTCCGAAGGCGAAGTAGTACTGCTGACTGTACAGAGGTGTGACAGCAGTAAGGTGTTTCCTTCAGACAACCAGTATGACAGCGATGCTGCCTTCTCACAAGGAGGGGTGGGGTTGGAAAAGGTCGATCCTAAAAATGCACACCTCGCCTTATCCCACGGATATCCGTCTGCGGCAGTAAGGTCTCAACAAGTACGGAGCTAACACAAAAATTACCCATAAAAAGGTCTTGTGTGACCGACTGCGCTCATACCTCTAACAGCACTCAAGACCACTGTATTCATAATCAACCTCCCTCTTCAATTCCTATTATTCCTCTTACATCGACTTTCACCTCTAAACTTCCTTTGTCGGCTTTCCCCCCCACAAGTGTCACCATACCCAACGATTCTAGTGCTCAAAACAATGTCCCAGGTCTAATGAAACCTCGCTCCAAACTACACATTGGAGCCTTCAACGTACACACCCTATGTCAAATCTGTCAACAGGCTTCCTTGTCTAGAACCCTAGAATCTCGTACCATTGGTGTATGCTGTGTCTCTGAAACACGCATACAGGATCCCAGTGTGGCCATACACTTGACGTCACCTCGGCAAAACGGAGAGCCAACGAGATACACCCTCCGTGTATCTGGCGACCCGATGGCTAATTCTCGTGGACTGGCATGTGTAGACATAGCACTAAGCATGAGGGCGGAGCGAGCACTGTCAGAGTGAATCCTCGTTAACAGTTATCTATGTGCTGTTCGGCCAAACGGCTACGTCCGAACTCGGAAGAGTAGGGACACACGTCGTTGCCTTTTTGTCGTTTCTGTCTACGCTCCCACCAACTGCAGCTCAGATGAAGTGAAAGATGAATTTTACAGAAAGCTATCTGAACTCCTTCAGAAAGCTACACGTTCAGACATAGTACTCGTAGCAGGTGCCTTTAATGCCCAGATAGGTAGCTTAAACCAAACAGAAAGGCATTTAGGTGGGTATTTTAGTATCCCAGCTCAGCGAACAGATAATGTTGATCATCTGTTGCAACTATGCTCAGACAATCGTTTATTTTTAGCAAGCACTAATTTTAAACATAAGGAGAGACATCGTCTAACATGGCGACCCCGTGCATCAAACCAACGATGAACTCGAGTAGACCATATTGCCATCAGTCATTGTTGGAGAGGGTCGATCGAAGATTGTCGCCCATTCTGGAGTACGTGCTTGGACTCCGACCATGCTCTAATACGGACACGCATCTGCTTGAACCTTAATAGACGCAGAAAAGCCACACTAAGAAGACCCATTAGAATTGAACTGAGTGACGAGGAAGCCGAAAGCAGATTCCAGGAACAACTGGGGTCACACTTAGGTAGTCCTGAAAACGAGGCTGACTCAGATATGCTTGGAAGGGTATACAAATAGGGTTATCAAAAACCGATGGATTTTTTCTAATCTATTTCACTGATGGATCCTCGTCAACTCATTCTATCAGGCTCCGAACACGATGAAGAGCGAAAACAAATAAGATCTAGGTTGTGAAAAATTCTAAGGAACGACCGTGAGCAGTGGTAGGCAACGAAAGCAAAAAATGGAAAAGGCGGCGGCTATAGGTAAAACATGACAGATCTTCAGACTAAAAAATGAAATTTAAATTATTAAGTCAAGTGTAAGTGAAACTATCTCGGAAAAAGACGACACCCTTATCTGCTCCCAGTCCAGACGTTTAGAACGATGGGTGGAACATACCAGAGAACAGTTCAGCTGGCCTTCAGCTACTCTACAACTACCCTTCATTCCCAGACAGTGTGAATGGAACATTAAAGTAATTCCTTCAACTCTAGCAGAAGTTCGAAAGGCTATAGTTAATCTGGAACGAGTAAGAGCAGCTGGTCCAGATGGATTGGTTCCAGAGGTCTTTAAGGATGGTGGTCCAATTTTAGCGATTAGGTTGACTAATATTTTAGCTAAAATCTGGGAGTTGGACGTAATTCCATCTGAATGGTCACAATCATTGATTGTCCCAATATATAAGAAGGGGTCAAAATCATCCTTTGACTAATATAGCATCTAAAATACTAGGATAAATAATTATCGGACACCTATCTAAGACTCGTGAACTTCAAACACAAGAAAATCAGGCCGGCCTCAGACCTAATCGTGGCTGCATCGATGACATATTCACTATTCGTCAGGTTTTAGAACACAGGCATACTTACCAGCTTCCGACAATGATAGTTTTTCTTGACCTGAAAGCAGCATTTGATTCGGTAGACAGAAAGGTTCTGTGGCAGTTTCTGTCATTGAACGGTGTACTTCAGAAGCACATAAACCTTGTGAAGGTTCATTACTCGAACACTACCAGTCAAGTCAGAGCTTATGGAGAAATGTCATCTGATTTTGCAACCTCAAGTGGTGTCCGACAAGGCTCTTCACTATCTACATTTCTGTTTAATTTTACGATAGACCTACTGCTGGAAATAACGTTCTCGTCGTCTGGATTTTCAGGAATTTATTTCCTACCAGGAGGTCCACTTATCCACTTAGAATTTGCAGATGAAATAGACTTGTTTGATGAAGACGCTGATAAAATGCAGAGTCTTTTGGGGGCACTGAGAAACTATTCCAGGATGTTTGGGATGGGTTTCTCCCCCTCTAAATACAAGTTGTTGCTTCAGGACTGGCCTGCGTCAACACCCGAACTAAGGATAGGGAGTGATGAAGTAGTCGAACGGGTCGACAGCTTCACTCATCTTGGAAGTCTGATCAGCCGAAACGGGTTGGTGTCTGACGAGATCTCTGCATGGATTCGAAAAGTTCGTTTGGCTTTTGCCAACTTAAGTCACCTATGGAGAAGACGAAATATCCGTCTATCAAATGAAGGGCGAGTTAAATGTTTGGCAGTTTGTTCTGTTCTACTTTATGGCTACTAAAAGTGGCCATCAAGAGTAGAAGATACTCTTAAGTTACTAGCATTTGACCACAGATGCCTTAGAAATATTACTCGAGTCTGCTCGGATCATCGGGTTAGTAGTAGCAAGGTTAGACGCAGAATATTAGGGAATGATGCTAAATCAGTTGATGAGGTTGTGAATCTTCATGGACTGAGATGGTTAGGCCACGTGTTACGTGTTTACATATTCGAATATTTCTTCTGAATCCTCTCACCTAATAACGAAAAAATGTCATTCAAATGCCGTAACCAAACTTAAAGTGTAATTACATGTTTCATGGTCGCACTGGTTTCCAACGTATGCATCAGTAAATTCGCTACAATCGGTAGAACTGGCAAACCCACCTTTGTCTTCGAAGATCACATAATATGATGAGATGAAAACACAATTACAAACACTCAATGATCTCGGAATGATCTAACAGGTATAGTAAGTTTAAATGTTTCAGATTCTAAACAGCTATAAATAACATCCAACACTATTGATAGGCATATCAGCAAAGAAGCAAGAAACACCAAAACTTGGCAATTATTTCGTCGACTTTCATATGAACAGTACTGATATTATTCTTGAATTCAATGAAATTTTGGAGCCCATGATTAACTAATTTGTTATATGGTTTGAGTATCCTAAATTTTCAATTGTGTGATTTTCTTATGAACAAAATGACCAACACGTCTTTCGCATCAGATAGAAACTGAATTTATTTGCTGAATTGTATATTGGAACTAACGAACGTAATAAGTATGATGCAGTTGAAAAGAAAATCTGCTCCCTAAGTCTTCGCTTCAAAGGAGATGAAATTACTGGAACAATTAACTACAGAATAGATGCTACGATGAAGACTGATAATCCAAAAGCGAAAACTGATAACTTTGCGTGAAACGAACTACTCTCTCACTTATATATAGTATCCAAACAATTTTTTTAAAAATTCAGTTTTCCAGCAATGTGTGAATTTTATAAATAAATCCCACTATTCCACGGATTTTCTGAGAGCCTTTTTATTTTACTATAAATTTCAATAAATTATTTCGCATTATCGTTGGACAGACCACATATATTGTTAAAAATCACTCACTTTGTAAGCATAACGATAATGGTAATATTTTGATCCAGAATCATTCTCCAAAAATCACCAACTGTTGATTCTAATGGTGCCTGTGATGCAATGTACTCTATTTTATTTCTGTTTAGCACGGGATGTGTGTGAACACTTGTACAAGGTATTATTTCATAAATAAAACTTGCATTTACATAATCGTGTTCCTATAAAGTGGACAAAATATATTAAGAAACTTCGTGCATATGTGTTTGTTTGAGCTACATCAAGCAAACTGAGTAAATAAATGTTTCGATAGAGCAATGAGAAGACGGAGTTGATCTGAAGAATGTGATGTCATTGCGCTAAACATTTCGAACAATCTGGTAACACATACTTGTCAAGGTAATTCATATGAAGACTAATAAAAATCAGTAAAATGAAAGTTCATGTAAAACAAGTTAATAAAGGGGAGATAAAGTTTTTTACATAGAAAGAATAAGAAATTGTCGCATCACCCTAGGCCATAAAATGACTTAAGGATTACCAGCGTAAATTCAAGGATACGACAAATTGTTTTTGTACATACAATAGCCAATAAACCTGAGAATTCATCCTTGACAATTTCTTCTGTACAACGTTTCAAAAGCTGTATTGATGTCAATTTTGTGCGTCGCTATTGATGAACATGGATTTCTATTTCCCACGTTTATTGGATCATTTGACATTATCTGGTTTCAAAGCCATCTAGGAATATGTTCCATGGCCCTTGATTGAATTTTTCGATTACTCTTCCCTATGTATATGTGTCCGCACAAACATGTAAACAGGTAAATGCATTGGAATGTCACGTAATCATCTGTATACTGTCTAGATCTATTTGGAATCATGAGCTTAAACGTTTTAATCACAATCGGTTTAGCAGCATAATACGTTTTCTCGATGGATGCTTTCAATCTCTGTCATAAAACCGTACTATATGGTAGATAGATATAAATTTTTTTCTCCGTTAAAGTTTATAAATAGGTGCAGAAGTCAGTCAAAACTTCCGAAGAAAATGTGTAGAGCGAATATATCACATTTTTCAAATCAACTCCGTCTTCTCATTGCTCTATCAAAATTTATAAAATGGATTATTTGTTTTAAATAAATATCTAATCGAATAGCTCAGTAAGAACAGTTTGACTAAGAAACAGTGCAAAAATCGTTAGGACAAATATTGCCCACTAGTTTGCAACGAATAATCCAAACCGAATTGTTGGGATATTCAGAAAAATATCCCAAAAATTATCCTGTTAAGTCTAATGCTATCCTTGAACGTGAAATGGTGTCATTTTCCTATTAGTCAATATTTATTTCACGTGTCATTTTCCTGTTGGTCAATATTCAAGGTAGTCCTAACTGTATAAATATGCATTTGTCTGTAAAGTATCATTTCTATTCCTATTTTTATTCTTATCCTTCTCTTGACCCCATAAATAATTTCATCTACGGTTCGTGTTCTGATATGTTGGAGATCGAGGGACAGTATTGGGTCGTACTGGGATATCCGAAGTTGGTCAGTCGGTAGAAATTAGAGTAGCCACCCCGCAGTTCACAACACAAATCAAACTCAACACTACACACACCATAGTGATCGAAACACAATCCAGCCATTGAATGGTGAACTAAAGATTTGATTTCTCGATTTCAATCGCTTTCCCATGTGAGAGTAACAAATATCCAGTATCATCATGGTATGTTTACCTTATTTCATTTGCTAATCTGTCCAATTAATAAATAAACTTTGGTCAAAAAACGTTTTGTAAGTTTAAAGTACATCAATCCAACCAGCTCCAAAACACTAATTATTTCCAGTAAAACACTTTTTCTATCGTTCTATCTATCGTTCAAAACATTACACATAATCCTCAAAATAAAAGCTTGACGCTGTAATAATAGAATTATTATTTGTAGACAATGATAGCTGTTTCAGGGAAAGGCGAAGTTTAAGGGTTTTGACCAGTAGATGCAGTATCCCGTCCTTCTCAGCTTTTGGTGAAATGTCAGCAAATTTGGAATAGGTTATTCATACACTTTTACCAGCCAGAAATTTCCGCATGTGTTATATGTAGAGACAATATTCATAAATTCACTCAATAACAGATTATAGACAGGAACTTTAAAAACTTTTGACGACATCTCTGGATTTTCTCTGAGTGAGTAGAAAGTACTGTACTATTAAGAACACTTTTTCATATGTAACGTAGTGCGAATCATAAAAAAGATGGTGTTAGGATAGTCGGAAAAATATACCAATAATTATCGTGTTAAGTCTATGGTGTCCTTGGACCTTAAATGTACATTTCTTATTGGTCGATGTTTATTTCACTTGTTAAATATTTTGTAAATGTTGTTTCCTATTTTATGGTACGATGTGGTGTGCTTGATTGGTATATAAACAAAGTATGTCTGAAATACAACGATTCATAACTCAGAGGCTGTGACTTGCGTTCTTCACTCAACTGGCTGGGACAGACTGCGAAGCGGGACCAATCAGGGCTCTAGGTCGTCCGTCCGTGTTTACGTGTCCACTGTCACAGAGGCGATCGATAAATACGCTGCTTATCAAAACCTGCAGTCTCACACACTACGCGTTACAACAGATGGGTAGATATAAAACTAGTGTCCCATTAACTTAGAATCGATACATGTTACTTTTATAGATTTGTTTTATTATCGACTAGAAGGTGATACAACTTCGAATGAGTCAAACTCAACGCTGATTAGGTAGGTGACTTTCCACATGAAGCCGATTAATTAAATACCAAGTCAAAATATCATAATTTTTCTCTAATAGGTGACTAAATTGCTAGAACTTCAATCATTATATTCCATGTTCAAACTTTACACCCCTCAGTTCAGTTTTGTCAGACAAATAGTACCCTCAACTGTTACACAAAAAATTATAGTTCGAAATCGAGGAGGAAAATTTTTGGGTTGTAGCATTAACGACTAGTATGTACAAATTGGAGCTAACCAAATTTAAAAAAGGCCATAATCGAAACTGTCTATGTAATAATCAATTCACAAAGATAATTAAAAACGTATTAGCGAAGTGAAATCACATTCCGAATGACAAGTTTCTCTCGATAGATTATACTACCTTTATTATTTATAAACAGATGTTATTTTCCTAACCAATACGCGCTGTGTAAATTTTTACCGTAAGTATATTTCTTCTCAGCTCATATAGACTAATTAAACAGTAGTAGATCGAGAAAAATAAATTACCTGTTTGCTTTTTTGAATTGGATTTAACTTCACTCGCGTTTGATCATCTAAAAATGTTCAGATAAATTTATTGAGAGAATAAAACGAGAAATCGGTTAACTTTGCCGATTGAAATATTTATTAAAACATTAATATTTGCTGAGAGTTCGATCATTAAATGATCCACCTTTAAGGATCGTTGAAAAGATTATAATTACTTACACCTGTTACACTAAGTGGAGCATATGCCGGCCGACCAACATTCTTAAACACACTTTGTCCTGGACCTTCCTTTCTAGTCCTATTCAATTATTGTTCATTATTTTCATATCTGTCTCCATTTTTGGGCGTAATGTGTTCTTTGACCTTCCTCTCCTGCTTTGACCTTGAGGATTCCAAGTGAGGGCTTGTGAGGCCCTTAACTTTGTCGTCATTTAGATCGACCGACGTTGTCGAAAGGGCTCTCCACTTTAGTGGCCCGTGGATCTGACTCCAATTAGATCGTATGAATGTTTGTTATCGCCTATCCTCGTATATAATCATTGACTTAAATCGCGTTAGTCAATCACAGAATTAAATAAGTCAAATAACACTCCACGTCCTTCCTTCATATCTTTTAAGTTACCGACTATCAAAATAACGTCAATATGAATGACGAGGAAGAAACTGTTTCGATTAGCTCAGAGGAGTTCACTGAACGAGACGACGACAATGACAACAGACTCTATGATATTTGCAATCTTGCGCAACCGCCACATGAAACTGCTGATGGAAGTACCTGGATTTTTTGTCCATGCGAAGCAATGCTTCATTTATTTTGTGCTTACGACCCATCAACACACGTCCATGGAATCCACTGTTCCATGTACGGAGCTATAATGGAGTAATAGCAACGCCTTTGTTCATGAAACTCGGAACTGTTAAGAGAACGAGTAAAGGCCCTTTTCAGGGCCACCCACAATTTGATTTGACTTCTTTTGTTTTAATTTCTTATTTCCATGGCAAAGGTCAAGTGATGAAACCATCAAAATTCATTTAAGATTGGTAATCACTATGTGATTATCGTCCACGTATTCGTAAACGCTTTTTAAGCTTTGTCAAATATACGGTTTATGTAAACGATTTCGTATAGGAAATGTCATCTCATGAACACTAATCTGTATAACAATAGTACATGCAAAAATTATTCAGAATGTCCCAATGTTTTGTCATATAGTTACGATAGGTGAGTGTAGTACTACCAGTTCACTAGTACAACGACATCATTTCTATAGGAAAGGTCAACTGAACCAACATTGATGAATTCGAATTAAGCCTTAATGATTAAGTAATATAATCAATAGAGATTTATAAATATTTCGTGGGTTACTTGAAGTTAGACATTAACAGGTTTTTCATGGTGCTCTAGTTTCAATTCGCTCATGATCTCAACTATTCCAATAAAAAATGTCACTACCTTTCACGTGATAGTGATACATTTATAAATTTTATAAAATGTCTATATCAATTAATGTGGCAATTATCTGTAACAATGTTACATGCAAAATGTAATAAGAGTGTTTCGAATACTTGTCAAAACTTGTTATTCAACAATATAGAATATTATATGGAGATTTTTTAAACTGCAAATATGCTGTTGACATTACATGCAAAACTTGTTAAGCCCATTTGACGAGCACAATAATCGATTCACATGACTACTTACATAGACAAGTACTTTTTGTCATAATTTTAAACTACTCAACTACAAAGAATGTACAGTTAAAAACAATTAACGCTTTTAATGGATTAGCGAAATAACACAATTGACAATCTTGCATTTATTTATGACACCATTATTCAGGTAAAACTAAACAACTCTTTTGTACTAAGAATTACTGTTTGGAAAAGAACCCAATCATAAATATTATTTGCTATTTTCTGAGAGAAGTTATTACTATTTTGCTTCATTTACCGATCGTTACCGGTTAGCGTGATTTATGCATGCCCTATTCATGATATTATCACGATGATTTATGGATATTTTGCTACGCATATAACGTTTATTAAAATAACATACGATGTGTTAAGAAAAAAACTAATGGAAATACTTCGATGAATAATTTCTTTACTAATTGTGTATTAAACATTTGACCACCTTTCAACGTCAGTTATTACTATCATCAACTATTAAAACCAGTTATAAGTTTTTTCCAAAATTCTCTTTTAATGATTTAATCCACGAAATATTTATAAATCTCTATTGATTATATTACTTAATCATTAAGGCTTAATTCGAATTCATCAATGTTGGTTCAGTTGACCTTTCCTATAGAAATGATGTCGTTGTACTAGTGAACTGGTAGTACTACACTCACCTATCGTAACTATATGACAAAACATTGGGACATTCTGAATAATTTTTGCATGTACTATTGTTATACAGATTAGTGTTCATGAGATGACATTTCCTATACGAAATCGTTTACATAAACCGTATATTTGACAAAGCTTAAAAAGCGTTTACGAATACGTGGACGATAATCACATAGTGATTACCAATCTTAAATGAATTTTGATGGTTTCATCACTTGACCTTTGCCATGGAAATAAGAAATTAAAACAAAAGAAGTCAAATCAAATTGTGGGTGGCCCTGAAAAGGGCCTTTACTCGTTCTCTTAACAGTTCCGAGTTTCATGAACAAAGGCGTTGCTATTACTCCATTATAGCTCCGTACATGGAACAGTGGATTCCATGGACGTGTGTTGATGGGTCGTAAGCACAAAATAAATGAAGCATTGCTTCGCATGGACAAAAAATCCAGGTACTTCCATCAGCAGTTTCATGTGGCGGTTGCGCAAGATTGCAAATATCATAGAGTCTGTTGTCATTGTCGTCGTCTCGTTCAGTGAACTCCTCTGAGCTAATCGAAACAGTTTCTTCCTCGTCATTCATATTGACGTTATTTTGATAGTCGGTAACTTAAAAGATATGAAGGAAGGACAGTGAGTGTTCACGGTAGTCCTTTATGAAAAATTATAATAACACTAATCAAATTACCTCGTTCGTTTCTTCGGCTGTGAGGAACCGCCAGATGTTCTACGGCCATTCCTCCAACATACGAATCTAACATACGACTTCCGATCTCTATGTAAATGAGAACCCCTCACCACATAATGGCTGTACGTGGCTCTTTCATACGTTCTAATGGTGCTCTTCAACGCTTCAAGAGATTGGAACACTATGAGATACAATGTGCTCAAGAATAGGTTATTGGTTTCTGTGACGACGTGAGGAATGACAGAGCTCGTACTTTGTATGTTACTACCGTCCATAATTGTAAGAAAATGTGCTCTGTCGTCAAGTCCTCATATTTTATATCGATTTTAAGAAATAAACGACCAAATATAACGAACTCAAAACTATTTATTTGATTGGACGAAACAGAATGAAAATTATTGGAAGATGGAGATGAAAACTTTTTTCAAAAGGGACGAAAAAAAATTTCACTCGAAAAAAATACAAAAATGGTCGTGCAGTAAATGTTTACCTATTTTGTATATGGAGTGAAATGAGTAGAGAGAAGAGAAACGACGCAGAGTGGAGATGACTGGTAAGCCAACACCCCTTTAACCAAGCGTTAATCAATATTTATAGTTACACAACAGTAAGTTACAGAAATGTGATGAGTAGTGGGATAAGAAATGTACACACACCCACGCGGTCATATAAAAAGAATAATATTGTCCGACCGGCCATTTTTTTTAAAAAAAAAACCCCACCCCATAAAAAAAATTTTCCACCCCAAAATTACAATATTTTTCATCCCGTGTTTCGTCCAATGAAATGGCTAGTTTCAAAAATTAGATTTAATTGGTTAGTTATGTCTTGAAAATTGTTATAAATTATCAGTACTTGTCGACGAAGCACAATCTCAATCGTCATTATGGAGCAGAGTAACGTGCCGAGTACAAGCGCTGGTGTTTCTCACGTAACGGAAATGGAGGAAGTCTTTTTGACTACCTTGTTTCTGGTTGCGTTTCCATCGGTTGAAGCGTTAAAGACCACTATCACAAATTTTGAAAGATCGACTTACAGTCATTATGTAGTGAGAGATTCGCATATTGGCAGAGATCAAAAATCCTACATTAAATTTGTGTGTTGGCGAAATGGGCGTATAAGATCTAGCGGTTCGTCACAACGTATTAGACGGAGGAGGTAATTTGGTAAATTGTTTTATAATTTTTTGAACGAAGGGCTTCTATGAACACCCAATGTCCAGCATTTATGTTTTGTAAGATTATAGACGGCTATTGGACTGTTGTACGTGGGAATGTACATCACAATCACGAGTGCAATTCCCTGAGGTACCAGGGTAATTCATGGGTGCGCAGGTTAACGGATGGGGAGTTTGAAACTGTGAGACCGCTGCTGATTTCCGGTACCGCTGCATTCCACATAAAGAATTTTGCTTACCAATCTTATGGCAAATGTCTGACCGCTCAAGATGTCTGCAATATGCGGTACAAAGTGTTCTCACACGCGAACCTTCCTGGTACGGAATTTGCCAATTTATAATGTACACTATAGGTGATTACGGGAAATTGAAAGCTCACATAACATCCTTGGGTGGGCTTTGCGAATACGAATTGGACGATGAGAACTGTCTATCGTATTTCTTCTTCATGACCGCTGAACAAGTGAATTTGGCCGGTCACTTTTGTGACGTAATTGGTTTTGACGGGACGTACAAAACGAATAACGAGAACGTCCATTTATATCAAGTCGTTGCCCTGGATATGAATTTTAAAGCAATACCCATGTGCATTGCCTTTTTAAGTCGCGAAACGTCAACATTAATTTCTGCCTTCCTGCATTTTTTCCAACGGTGTACCAACAGTCGACAACTGGTAGGCATTGTGACCGATGATTCACCTGCAATTGCTGCTGCTATTACGCAGGTGTATCCGGATGCACACCATATTCTGTGTCGCGTACACCTTGTTCGGAATGTGATAAAGAGGGTAAGTGTTTCGTTCATTAACATTAACCCAGTAACCGTTATTGTAGAGGGTGCGATCAGAAATT